AGTCTAATTTTTAAGTTGATGACTTTGTATGGCTCGCAAATGATATTATAAATATTGAAATGGCAGAAAAAAAGGTTCCCCACCCCTGTGTAAACAGTATTTCTGGAAGAATCCAGAAATAACACCACATTTAAAGACTGAATACTTTGTCCCAAGATCAGTAACAAGAAAAGAATGTCACTTTTATCACTCTTATTCAACATATACCTGAGATTTTAGCCAGGGCAAATTGTCAGTTAAAAAATTAAAAAGGAAATGACCCATTTAGAAAAGGAAAATGTAAAACTATTTCCACTTGAAAATGACATGACTTTGTACAGAAAAAAATTCTAAGAAATCCTGTTAAAACTAACAGAACTATTTAATGATTTCAACAAGCTTTCAGGATACAAGATCAATATATGAAAATCAATTATATTTCTATACATTAGCAGTTCATAATCTAAAAATTATTTTTTAATTCCACTTACAATACTATCAAGGAGAACAAAACACTTGGGAATAAATTTAACAAGAGAAATGCAAATCTTATACTGTGAAGAATACAAAATGTTCTTGAAAGAAATTTTTAGAAGATCTAAATAAATGGGAAAATATCATATTTATGGATTAGAAGACAATATTATAAAAACAGTAATGCTCCGATATTCATCTAGAGATACCAGACAATCTCTATCATAGCTATCATTTTTTAATAGAAATTGAAAAGCTGGTTCTAAATTTTCTATGAAATTATAAGGTACCTAAAAGAGATTTAGAAAGTCTTAAAACAGGAGAACAAAGTTGGAGGACTGAAACTTTTCAATGTCAAAAGTTTCTACAAATCAACAGCAATCAAAATTTTATGGACTATGAGAGCAAACATAAAAATCGATGAAATGGAATAGAGAATACAGAAATAAATGGGTCAAGACATTCAAAAGAAAAAGACAAAATTTGAGGAAGAAAAAGAGAACAATCTACATGAATGTGTCACCCCCAATAACCCCCCAACATCCCACTCTTGCCCCTGACTTCTGCCTACCTTCTTCCTCCTTCCTATCTTTGCCCAGAAGCTGAGGCAACAAGTGTATTTGTAGATGAAGTATACTCTTACAGTTTGCAGTAGGCATTCTTTACATTCTTTGAATTTTTAAATGCAGCATGCTCAAGTGTAAGGCCAAAGAAAGAGCGAACCTTTTGTTATATGAGGTGAGGAATAAGGGAAGAGGCAAAAAAAAAAAAAAAAATCGAGGGGATTTCCATTTCATTTTCTTGCATCACTTCTCCATGGAAAGGTCAATTCCCACTGATAATCTGTGTGGAGCATGTGCAGTGGGTGCAAGAAAAGTGGACCAAGAGCATCCAAACCTTCTCAAACCAAAAGAAGAGCTTTGGAGAAGTGGCTGGAGGGTCTTAGGGCTCTAGCAGTACACAGTCTTTAAAGGACTCAGACGGCATGATACACTCAAATAAGAGATTATCAAGTCACCCTCAAGACATACTCAGCCTTTCTGAAAACATTATCTTACTAGCCATTTATGAAATCTAAAGAAACCACAACAAAACAAAACAATAGATCAAGAAACTAGTCTTGAAGATCATCCTGTCTGGTTTCCAGGAAGTGGAAAATGATAAATATTTTAGCACAAGCAAGCTCCTAATATAAGCCTTGTAAATGAAATCCTAGCATGAGATTTAATGATGACAGAGAACTACTGTGGGTGAGCATAGCCCATGAAGAGCATAAAAAATGACCTTGAAGGCAGACTGGGAGGGTTCTGCTCAGCCTGTTACAGGGGCATTCAGCAAATCCTTCCCTCCCTTTTATTTCAGTATCAGATGTGAGAGACTGTTGTGCAAGCTTGTTCATAATTAGCCTGCTGCTCTCAACCAATTCCCCAGGAACTGGTTAATCTTCTATCACTATAAACCCCAGTCACACTGGACCATAGGCACAGGTGAATGGGTTACCACCTGGGAGCCAAGTGCATACTCTGAGTGATGCCTTTGCAGATACTATGCACACTGCTGACCACAGCTTGGGAGAACAGAGCAAGGGTGAGCAGGGAAATAGGTCTCTATTGGATCAGGAAAGGAGAGTTCCTAGGACTGGTGTATAAGAGAAGTGGAGGGGAGCACCTGAGTTTAATCAAGCCAGGACTGGCAGAACAGCTGGTAAGAAACAATGGTCAAGATAAGGACTCTGGATTCGAATGTCCCTCCACTGTGCAGGCTATAAGATCTGTTGCCTGGGTCATGGGTCCAGCTTCTCTGCATCCTAGTTTCTCATTGCAAGATGGTGATGAGAAAAAAAAAAAAAAAAGAACCTGCCTCACAAAGTTGTTTCAAGGATTAAACAAGACACTGGATATGAAGAGCACAGCACAGGCATAACCCTTGGTAGATTCTTGACTGTGGCTATGGTCATGATGATCCCAGTCCTTCCTGCTTTCAATCCTCTCTCCTGGGTCACATTTTGGCTGTAAACAATTTTCATGTACAATGTGTGGGAGCCACCTTTGGGAGGCAGAGGCCAGCAAATCATCCCCTTGAATAGTGTTCACCTGTTTCAACAATCCTCTCAGAGCTTTTGGTCTAAAACTCCCAGTTCAGAATTGAATAAAAGAGTAAAGGTGGATTTTGCCCCTCTTTTCATTCTCATGAAGGTGAATTGCTAATCTTGTCTTGAAAGAAATAAGGCAAAGTATGCTTAACAATTTTATAGAGAACAAAGAACATGCTAGTCTAATACAACAACTAGATGTTCTCTTGGAGAAGTAGGCAAAAGAAAAATAGGGGTTTGGTTGACAAGGAAGATTTTTTTTTTTTAAATATTTATTTATGTGTTTATTTTATATTTGCAAGACAGAGAAACAGATCTTCCATCCCCTGATTCATTCCCCAAATGCCAACAATGGCCAATACTGGGCCAAAATGAAGCCAGAAGTCCAGGATTCAATCCAAGTCTCCTACATGAGTGGCAGGGACCCAACTACTTGAGCCATCATTACTGCTTCCCAGGGTCTGCATTAGCAGGAAGCTGGAATCAGGAGCAGAGCCAGGGCTCAAACACAGGCATTCTGATATTGGATAAAGGCATCCCAAGTGATGTTATAACTGCTGCACCAAATGCCCACAAGCAAACAGTCTGTAGAGAAAACAGTGCAGTTATGAATTTGCCTGAGCACTCTCCTATAGAAGTGATACCTTCCAGAGCTTGAACATTCAACATGGTCTCCTCTCCCCCAGACTGCCCCCTCCTCGCTCTTGCTCAGGTCTCTGTACTCTGCATGTGGGGTTCTTGAAATCCTAATCTTGGGGAAAAAAACACTACTGAGGGTTCTGGACAACTCTGAGCTCAATGCATTAAACTTCTGAGGGCTGTGTTAGGCCTTAATTCTTGACATCAGGTTCCAGAGAGTTCCAAGATTAAAGCTTCCCAAAATCCCACTGCCCTGGGATTCATCCCCAAAGTAGGCATATTTGATGACTTTTTTTTCTTTTAGAGAGACCTTATGTTACTACAATGGGAAAGAAGATGAAAATGTGAATGGGCAAACATTTAAGAAGCAATCTACAACATCTTAACTTGACTTATGTAATCTTTGTGAAACACTGCGGTAATAGACTCTCTTTAACAAAGAACCTGACTCTCAACAAGAAGCAAACCAGGACTCCAAATCCCATCCCATCCAATACTTTTCACCTCACCAATTCACCTCCCTATCACATTACTACAAGCTGGGCATTCTTGCTCTGTTTGTAACATTTTTATGGCCTTTTTCTCACTTATAAAGTGAGTTAGAATAAATCACCTCAAAGTTACTTCCTGGCTCTAATTTATTAAAAGGAAGGCCCTTCCCGCAAGGCAGAGGCCTGAGGGTAGCAGGATTTCTTTCAACCTTTTGGAACACCCTGGTGCCTCAACCAGGTTGGGGGACAAAGCTGGGATCTGTGGGGAGCTGGTCACAGGCTGAGAAACCAGGCAAGTGTGAATTCTAATCCTAGTGCTGACATTGACTTCCTCTTAATCCTCAAAGTCACTTTGTTTCTGAGTTTCCATCTATGCAACAAGGTTAATAGGACTCATCAATCTCCCAGGAGGGTGTTCCTGTCCGCCCAGCATTTGTGAGGAGCTCAAGTCTTATTTCTGAGAGCTTCTGGTGGTTTCACATGGGGGTGCCCTAAGAAACAAAAATCCCCGAATGCTCCAGGGTAGGCTAGTGAAAACTGTATTTTAAAAATAATAATAGCAGGTGTTCCCAAACATCAGTTATCTCCAATGTAAAACTTACTTTGAAGTGAAATTTGTTATTTGTTCTGATATTAAGGAAAAAATACATGGCAAAAATTTAACCTTTGAGAAGGCACTCAGTAATAAGGGTTCTAGAAGAAAACTAGACGTTTAGGAGCTCAATTATCACCAAAAAAAAAAAAAAGCATTTTGATCTTATGTGTCTCCAGATTCCCAATCCTCCATTTTTTTCAAATGTGATCTCTAACAACAGAATGAGTCCAGTCTTTTGTGTATTCATTTAAATAGTCACTTTCTACCCTGAAGAAATATTCTGAAAAAAAAAAAAAAAAAGAATCATCCAGAATTTGCAAATGTGCTCAGAGTTTGAAGTGGGTGGAAATAGCTGATCACAGCTGGAAAGTAGTTCCTATACTTATCTGTGAGGTCAAGGAATCTGCCAGGCGAGCTGCATGTTTCCAAGGTTTTTTTTGTAGATGGTTTGGTTTTACGCACACACACACACACATGTGCACTCAAGCACATACAACAAATATTGTTGTTGAATGTGCTCCCAGATTGAACTGCTTTAAGTACTAAGATTTTTTCCTGGCTGGGAGAAGCAAGGAGGGAAGATGGTGGGTCAGCCAGCTGTGTATTTGTGTCTGTATTTTTTTCATCCTGCACATAAAGGAAAGAGAAATTTTCTGATGTGCGCAAACCTTCTTACCATCACCAGAGACACATCACGTCTGCCCTTCCCTTTAAGAGCAGTGAGACTCACTTTTATTGTGTGTAGGTCTCCCAGCCGATTTTGGTTTTCAATGCTTAACTGAATTTCCGACTGCCTTTCTCAGACTGTGATAAATCAGGGACTTCTTTTTCCCACTCTGGTCTCCATTATGACATCACAGCCGCCTTTACAAACCACAGAGTGAAGCAAACAAAAGAATTTTTCATTTTCTCTTTCATTCAATCAGGCTCCATTTTCTGTCGCACTACAACCTTTTGACCTGTGTCCTAATGGCGCTGGTCACTCAAGGGCAGAAGTTCAGCCATAGGTTAAGTCTGTGTGTGTTTATGTTGAGGAGAGGGTCTGTTTGCACTCACTTCCTGTTGTCCCCGCCCCTCCAATGCAATTGCTCTCCCAGAGCCCTGCGATCCCTCCTGCTGAGAGCGCTCCTTCCTCTGAAAGGTTGAAAAAGAGAGGTTGTTTTTCCCTTCTCCCCAGTCACCAAACCCTTTTGTCCTTGTTGCAGCTGAGCTGACATTAGCTCTGTCTTACCTTGAGACAGTGGAGGCAATATGCAAGGTAATAGTGGTCATTCCATTTGGTTTCAACAATTTCCCATTTGCATTTCCTGCTATCCATTCATCTATGAGTACTGAACGTCGCATTAAAAGTGCTTGCATTTGGTGCTTTAAAATGTTCAAAGCTAATAGGAAATCACATGTGAAATAACTGAAGCACCATAAGAAAACAGAATATATGAAGAACACTCTTATTTAAATAATAAAGTCACAGAATTTCCCCCATCAGGGTGAAATTTTTTTTTCCTCTTTTATCTATCTACTTTCCACTCACCTGCTACTTCCCTTCTCTCTCATCTTCAAAAACTACTTCCAGGAGATAAAGACTTACCACCACTAGCATTTGTACGAAATAGCTGACTGGTTATGGGAAGTACTACTAAGTGCAATCATTTGTTCATTCATTATTGCATGCATACATGCATTCATCCAACCAACACATTCTATTCTCCATTCCAGCACTGATCTCTTCTACTTCTAGGACTGTCCAAGCTCTGAAGAGCATGGTAGTTTTATATGGCTGCAGCACTGGGTGGGACAAATGGGTAGGTGAAAACTGAACTAGAAAATGGCATAACTTTCACCCACCATCATAATAAACAGTTGTAGGACATACTCATGGTTTCATCTCCTTCCTCCCCGGGGCCTTCTTTGCACTACCACATGAGCAGGCACTGTGTACACAGCATAGCAGTATCTTCCAGGAGTCGCATACTCTCACATTCAACTAGCCCTGAAAGTTATTACAAGAAGGATTTTTATTTTGGTACCACTCCAGAAACACTGGCTTACTCTCCCTGCTGGATCCCCTTTTCCCCTCCATGTCTCTATGGCAGACTCTAACACCTAGCAATGGGCATGTAATTAACTGCTTGACCTCTGCTCAGTTATGTGGACACATGATGTTCAATGCTTCCTTGCTTCTTTTCCATTTTTGCCAGGATTCCAAGTTATGTGTGTCCCTCTGTTGCTCAATCTCTTGTTTCTCTTCCCCCATATGGCGTGACAGATCGCTACAACAAACCATTATGGATGGATCCCCATGTGGGAAGACTGCCCTATGGAGGCAGATTAATGACAATCCTGGAGTAGTGCCACATTCTGTTTTCCAGGGGCCAACCCCGGATGCTACTGAGGAAGATGTAAAAACCCATAGGCACTTACTTGTACAATGTTATACTTCCTAGTGCCAGCTGGTCGTCAAATTATGAGATGAAACAAGAGGATTTATAATCCTTGAAATTTCCTCTGGGCCTCTGTTGTCACAGAAGCACTCCTGACCATATGGCCCATCTTTTTGGCAGGTTCCAAAAAATCCACTAGGGCATTGAATCCCAAGGGTTAATTTCATTTTGTCTGTTTATTTTCTGTTTAGCAGGAGATAAGTCACTCCCATTCCATTCATTATTTCTTCTTTGAGTCTATGTGTTCTTCAAATTTAAGTGGTTCTCTCCTTAAAATATCTGATTCTCAGATGATTTAACATTTCTTTGTGAATTTTTCTTCATACAGCTGTTCCTTGTTTTTTTTTTTTTATCTGAATTATCATATGTCCTTTGTCTATGTTTGCTGTCATTGCCTTCATTCTAGTTTACTATCAACATTTCCATAATCTTTATGGTGACTGAATGTTTTTTGCAGCTCTAACTCAAAGATCTTTATCAAAATACAAACATATGGGACATTAGTTTTCTATATGTGACTCTGCTCCAGTGTGAGAAGGAAATTTGTTATGTACCTCTCCCAAGGCTCTTCTGTACCTGTATATAGAATTTAGGAGTCAAAAATATCTCATTGGAGGTGTAAATGGTACGTCTCAGGAATTTAGAGGATGATGCAGAAAGCAATCATCATGGGTGTGTCTACAAGGAGATACTGAATAGAAATATTATGAAAAATAAGAGTTTCAATTGAATTTCATAACATGTGTTGCCCAAGGGCAAAACCATGCATAGCTGCAGGTACTTTTGATGAACAAGGAAATCTGAAGAAATATTAAAAAGGTGGGAAATTCAAGGTCAGAGTCATGGTCAGTAACCTGAATAATTCATAAAACTGAAAGTGAAAAGGAAAAGGATTATCTTTAACGTGATTTAAATATTCATTGATTTAATTATTTCCAAACTAATTTTATGAGGAAAAGGACTCCATTCAGGCCAGAAAGGACACAGAAAGAAATTAGAAAATCATTTATTTGTTTAGAAATCTAAAGACTCCAGATAGGATAGACAGGTAAAAACAGAATTAAGTATACCCTCAATCACCATTCTCCATATATAACAGGGCTATCCATCCCAGTTCAAGCACACACTGAAGCCAGATGCAAATACGGGTTCTGGGTAACTTGGACAAGTTACTTAAACCCTCTACGACACATGGTAAGTGCTCCATAAGAATCTTTTTTTGGTGATGGCAGTTGATACTGGATAGAACCAAGAAGAAACTTATATTTTGACCTTTGAAAAGGCAGCCAGTGAGGGATCGCACTAGAACTCTGAACTACCACATTTGGGTAATAGATGAGGGAAAAAGAGCCAAAGAAGGAAGGGAAGATTAAGGGTGACTCCAAAATAATTTCTACGTAGTCTGAAAATTTTCCAGGGCTGAGTCTAACCAGACCTTCATCCTACATTCTTAGTACCTCAACTCTCTGTGATGGGGGCTATAAACGCATCTTACTGCACATATTCAAGTAGTGAGTTCTGCAACCCTTCTGGAAATCATCTAGGATATTTAATGTTTATAATTAACTTAAAAAACATATTTAATCTCAGTTTGCTAGCCTCTTCTGAATTTACTTCTAATCTCACTAAGTGCCAGACAGGATTTTGAAAAGTAAAGACGGGTAGAAAAGATTATCAATATCATGAGAACAGCTTGAGCAAAGACAGAAAAAAGAAACATGGGTATAAATTCAGAGAACATATGGAATAGAACACAAGTGCATCAAGAAATAATGAGTACAAGGAGATGAGGTTGAGCAGAGCTGATGAAAGTCCAGGTGAGAACATGGTGCTTTACATGGGGTATGGGGTCTGTAGAGAGGAATATTTGAAAGTGTTCATAATGTAGAGCCTAAATGCTTTAAGAGTCAAATGACCCATTCTCTAACTAGATACCTTGCCAATATCACATAAACTTTCCATCCCTCTGTTTCCTTCATGTTTCAATTTTTCAAATATGTATGGCACTTTTGCTACATGCTGAGTGTCATGCGAGGCATTCTAAAGGATTCAAAAATCAATATTCAATATAATGGCATATCTGCAATGAAGAAGTCACAACAGCATCCAGTCCTGCATATCCCAACTCTTACATGCCATAAAACTTACTAGTACTACCAACCCAGTGATAAGGACAGGCAAAAATACCCACCAAATGCTGTTACATATAGTCTGTACATTATTGAATTCTGAATAATTTTGTTAAGATTCACTACCACTGGCCTGGCAATCATTTTACTTTTTCCAGGTGAGTAAACAGGTGAAGAAAACTTGGATAAAGAGTGATTGATTCCCTATGCTGCCTAAGAAATTAATTGCATATGAGAATGGAAAAAGAATGGAAGTACAACATATAACAATAATCAGGAGATACATTATCTTGTCTAATTTTAATCAACTCTTGACTTACATAAAAATAGATTTAACTGGTTGGTTGATTAATTCTTTTTCAGTTTGTGTGTTTTCAAGTGATTTGTGATTTTTTTTTTAAAAAAAAGTCTTTCTCCTTTTCTTTTAAGAATCCTTGGCAAGTTGACATACATATGGTGAACATATGGCCTTCCTCTAATTGATTTAATTCGAAAGAGGACCCAGGGGAAAGCTCTGAGCACTATCTGTTTGAGAGCTTTGGGGAATGTTTATTTCAGAGTGAAGGATATAAGTGCGATACCATCAAGCAGTGCAATTGAAACAGGATGGGCATCACCCGCATATGGTGGAGAAGCATCAATGGTATAAATCATTAGGATAATTTTACCTCATGGTCTCTAAATTGGAAGATAACATTAAAAAAAAAAAAAAAAACTTGCGATGCTTATTTCAAGGGTGTTTCCCAGAAATCACTTGCACTGAATTTCCTCCACATACAAAATTGTCACTCCCCAGGTGAGACTGCATTACCTAATGAACTATCACCACCCATTTAGAGATCAATCTGCCTGCATTCCAGAATGAGCCTGTCTGCCTAATGCATCCTCCACCTGCTAGTAGTAATTCTGTAGCTAAACTGCTGCGGAAGAGGTGGCACAATCGACTGCATTCCTTCCCTCCAGACTGTTATAAATAAAGCCATATGTCTATTGTCTGTTTGCTAAATGGCTCCTAGATGATAGTAATCCAGCTGCAACAAAACTAAAACCAAACTCAGTTCATTCTCCTTATTGTCCTCCCTGGTTTGTTTCCAACAATAAAGTCAAAATACCATCATTAGCTGATGATGATCTTTTGGATCTGGAGCTTATTTAAATCTTTAATATTGGGTCACAGGACTAAATTATAAAGATATGGCATCTGGCCAAGGCCCTATCAGGGTCTTTGTGTCACTAATTCCCTATATCCAAAGCTTATTTTGCTGTGTGATAAAAAATAGAGGACATACCAGATATATTGGTTCTTCCAAGACAGAAAATGGAAATTTGAAGTTAATATACTTATTTATTTATAATATGTATTAATAGTTGATATAATATATGGATATATGTATGTGAATACATGAGTATACATGTGAATACACAAGTCTTCAGTGCTATGTATTATATACATGTCTTTCATTGACATTTCAATGAGAATTCATTGGAAGGCTCAACATTGTTTTTGTTTGCGTATCATGATTTCACTTATACACTCCTTCCTCTTTTACCTCCCTTCTCTTTGGGGAGTTAATTCGATCATATTAAATTGGTCTGGCAAATTGTTAATGACCCTGTATTCATAGACTAAAAAATAGAATGGGAAAGGGGCCTTTGATTCTGAAAATTGCAATCAAAAACAGAGAAAGAAAGGCATCAGAAACTATTTCTGAAGTGCCCTTGTCCTTGTCCATTTCCATGTACTTAAGCAATTCTCAGACAAATTATTAGAGTTCCTAATTGCCACATTTTGGCCCACCCTCAAATCCTTTGCAATGCAGTGCAGTTTCATTGCTTTAGTTCCTGAAAATTTTCAGAACTTTCCATTAGAAATTCGTCCAAGAAAAAAGCCTCTGAGATCTATTCAATAGATGTCATTTCAGGGTCCACTAGTGCCTATCTTGTAAAGTTCACCATAGAAAATAGCACTCCAACTTGGGATCATGTATCAAAAACTCCCCCATGAACCTCATATAGCCATGGCATCATGACATAAAAGAAATATGATCAACCTAGGAGTACCCAAAGAGGGAGAAATGGTGCAAATATTATTTAGAGCCAAATATTAGTTCATGTATATATTGTACACAATGGTGTTATGAACACCTCCAACACCATTGCTTAATCAACTGGAACTTAAGCTTCTCTATTCCTTACAATCATTTGCATAATTTGAATACAAATTTTACACTTAAAAATTTTGCATTTTAATGGACAAAATTAAAAGAAAGATTTATTTGAAAGAGTGTCAAAGAGTGAGGAAGAGACAGGGAGACATAAGAAAGAAGGGAAGGAGGGAGAGGGAGAGATCTTCCATCCACTGGTTCATCCCCGAAATATCCACAACAGCCAGGACTAGGACACACCAAAGCCAAGAGCCAGGAACTCCATCTGGGTCTCCCAGGTGCATGGCAGGGGCCCAAGCACATAGACCATTATCCACTGCCTTCTCAGGCACTTTAACAGGAATCTGGTTCAGAAGCACAGCAGCCAGGACCCCAGCTGGTTCTTAATATGGGAAGATGCAAGTAAGAGCTTAACCCACTGAACCACAATGTTGGCCTCAAACATGACTCCTTAATTTAATAATAGGAAGACTATAGACTCACATTACAGGTCTCTTCTGGATACCTTCAGTGTCACTTTTACTTGAGAGTAGAAGCAGAATTGGAATTTGTTATTTTTTAAATGTCTATTCATTGAATTCTCTCTAAAATCATCTCAATTTTTTCTCATGAATATCTCTTTAGCCACGTTGCCAAGGTGATCATCCACTGCAGAATTTTCCAGATGCCACGGTTTCAAATACTCTTTTTCATATATCACTGAGCATACTGAGGCTAGTCACACTGTGTGTCCTCATTTTAGGTTTAAAACATGGCCACAGGACATAGTATAATAACTGAGCAACATTTGTTGAACACGGTGCCCTCTCTATCATGATATTGCACAGAATTTCGAAGGGCTTAGGACAAGACTGATCAGACTACTAGAGAATTCACATCACAGAAGCTAGGGACTCTATTTAAAACACTGCCTTCACTAAGGAAAAACAATTTGGGTAAATATTTACAAAGTGAACAAGTTACATTCTTCCTTTCCCATAAATGTCTCCACCTTTCATCAAAGATCCACTTGTCACCTGCACAAATTGCAGGTGTTGAAGCCAGAGCTATGACCCTGAAGAACATCATTGCTGTTTTTGACCTATGCATCCAAAAATGTGCCCTGCATCTACAAGTGATGGAGTTTCTAAAATTTTTCTCTAGCAAACACAGAGGATGCCATGCAGCTGGCCCATATATCACCCTTGGTGTCAGACAATGGATTGCTGCCGTACTCTGGTTTTCTGATCAGGAGACACCTGTTGTGTTAGTCACACAATGGGAAAAGCACAGACAGAGCTTGGATTCCAGTGTTTGGGTTCTGGGCCTGACTTGACCACCAGGAGCATGCGGATACCGGCTAAGTCCATTGCTTCCTGACGCAAAAGATGAGAGCATTTGATAACATGAGCTTCAAAGTCCTTAACTTGGGATTGTATTTTAACAAATCAATGGTAAT